TATCAATACAGCTCAGGGTCTGATTCAAATGCGTGCCACAACTGCTCAAAAAAAAGAAAAATTACTTTTAACATTTTCTTCTGAAAATCAATAGTAATCACTTGGTCTTTAGAACAAGGCAAAGGGTGCAATTAAAAAACTAAAACTAAACACTTATAATCCATTTGAGTAACAAATTTTGGCAAAGCTGCAGTTGAGAGTTTAACATCAGTGTTTGTTGACTCACTGTTAATCACTTTAATTCACGGATTTGATTAGGCAGAAGTAAAACTGTCAATGTTTGCTGGCGTTTTTCTAGATTTCCTCTGAGCTGGTGATAAAGATAAGCACTGCACTGCAGTGTGTAGCAAGTTTTTTATTTTTATTTTTTTAATTCACAGACACTGGTGATTTTGGCCTCACTGTTTGAAAATGTCAGCTGCAAAAGCCTAGTGCTGTGAGGAGAGGTGGGGGGTTACTGTTTTTAAAGGTGAATTTAAGTTATCCTAAGCGCAAGCAGTCAGAAGAAGGTTGGCAAAATAAAACTTCCTGTTAAAACAGAGCTTAGTTCAGACAAACTCACCTTAATGCGGAGGGACTGATGGATATCTGCAGCTAACTGATCCTTCCACCATTCCAGCTCCCTCTCCATCTTTCCTAGTTTTACCTGCTGAAAGCAAAATCAGACAAAGTTCAGGTACTTGAAGAAAGAAGCAAGGCCAAGCCAGTATAACCACCACACTGAAAGTTGAGACTATTTTTACCACATGAGAGGAAAGAAGGCAAAGCTGAATTTAAGTCTTTCTACAACTGTTCTCTTTAATTTAAAATGTAGGATTAGTAAGCTAGCTGTTTTGTTCTCGTTGACAGTAAAAAATAAATAAATAAATACCCTTTCGAGGAATGCGTTTTTGATAAAGTTTTTAAACACCTTTATCTCGCTGCACAGGTCTATTTCCCCGCATAGGCCATTTTCTGTGTTCGGAAACCTAATGGCTCGGTTAAATGCCCCTTCGACCATGCTGTAGGTCAGTCTCATCAAAGCAGCCTTCCATAAAATCTCATTTTTTAACGTGGTTGTTCATCGCGAAGGAAAATCACCAACCAGTCCTACATTTCAGTTATGACTGAAGGCGATTCTGCACCACGAGACTGCGGCCAAACAGACGGGCTTTAAGTTAACTGTGCCCACCAGGCTCAGAAATACTGAGCTCATCACAAACTCAGATTATTTTTCCGGCAATCAGCAACAAAGAAAACTTTTTCTTTCTTTTTTTAGTCTTGGTAGTTATCGCCTGTTTCACTCACCGCTCCGTCGGGAATGCCCCCCAGACCCCTTTGTCTCAGTCCGACATCCTGAACGACAGAACTCCGCTACGGCTCAACTTTGAGTAAGACCTCTTTTTGTCGGCGAAAAAACAAAGTTAATAACACAAAACAGAGTAGGTGCCACCGTTAAATCCCACCGACAGGCCTTCGAGTTCCCCGTTTCCCCCAAAGTGTTCACACTTTTCCGAGAGAAACCACTGAGCCGTTTTCTCTCCGGTGGCTTCGCTGTTAACAAAGTAGCCTCTTCGGCTCAGCCAGCTGCTACTGTTGGTCTACAGAGCTCGTGCGCTAGACGTGAGGTTCCTCCCCCAGCCTGGGAATTGTAGTCTTTAAAGGTCACCGCTAGAACTACAAACGGCTACAGTTCAGCAGCAAAGAATCTCATTTCATTTATTTAATATACAAAATGTTAACGAATGCATATTATATTATATTATATTATATTATATTAAACATTTACCTATCTTTTAAGACAGAAATCCCAGACAGTATTCCCTTTGAGCAAGAATTCCAGTGATTTTGGAAGTGCTGTTATTGAAGTTGTCTATTTTAATGCTATCAAGTGTGAGAGCTGTTCAGTCCAGTGAAGAAGTATCTGACCCCTTTCTTTCTTTCTTTCTTTCTTTCTTTCTTTCTTTCTTTCTTTCTTTCTTTCTTTCTTTCTTTCTTTCTTTCTTTCTTTCTTTCTTTCTTAATGATCTGAAACATGTAAATATGACAAATATAAAACAATAAGAAATACAGAAATTTGCAAATAATTGTCACAGCACTGTATCCCTGACTCTAAGCTTTTCCCCTGTATCAGTACCAAAAAACACAACAATACACAGGCTTCAACAGCCTTTATAAACTGTTTATCTGGCACAAGATTTATGCTAACAATTATCTTAAACTGCAAGATATAAAGAGCTTGTGTGTGCTTCTTAAAAACATTGGTTGAATGCTTTGAGCTAAATGATCCCCAAGTAAATGCTGGAACCCGGGGAACCACAAAAGCAGTGAAGCAGATACTGTGATACTACTACTACTGTGAGCAGATACATTTCCAGATACTTTCAGTATGGTATCTGTTTGAATTAGTTTAGGGAAAGGAATAGGATAGGGTCTAGCTGAGGAATTGCTTCAGTATATTTGTTTGATAATGACAACAGCCGTTTAAAAGAAGTTAGATATCACACTGACATTCGTTAAGTGCAAACCTGTGTGAGTCCATTTTGCTAAACATCACTCTTGGCTGACTTTGGGGGATTTAAACTCAGCATCTCTGCATGGGAACATGAGGCTCTATAGTGGTGCATTGGGTTACCTACTGAGCCACTGACAGAGATGAGAGTAAAGCATCATATTTTCACATTTTTGTTGAAGGAAAGTATTTGATTCAAGTATAGCACTTTTTAGAAGTGATTCGGTTATTTTTAGCTAGAGCCATCTAAGTAGGAGAATATACAGCATGCTTCCAGGTTCCATACAAAAAGGAAGATTTTGCAAACATAAGAACAGGGGAGCTGAGCCTGTATATAAATAAAATGCTGCTTTCTTTCTGTTTACCTAAGAAAGCTGTTATCTGAGTGTTTGTAGCAGAAGCTGTGCCTGCATGAAGCATACTGCAAAAGATTTGACTCCAAATAGCTATTAACACTTTACATTAAGACTGGGTAAATTGTTTAAATTAGCTCTACACTGACTAACTATTCTAAAATGAAGTTTTCAGGTTTGCCATTGATGCATTTGTACTTTTACATAAGCACAAGTTTAAATGCAGAATTGCATTTCTTCCCTGAAGTATCATGGGTTATGGATACTTTAGTTAAGTAACACATTAGATCAAGTGTGATTAATTGCTTCCATGTGTGATGTGAATACCCACGGATGACTTTGAGACATTTGAGTATAAAACCCCAGTTAAAAATCCCCCTGTGGTCCATGAAATGGTGATGAACGGCCTCTAAAAGTAAAGAAACACAGGAGGTGCAGCATGTTCTTGTGTTTCTCCAATCCTTTGTCTCCTTAATGTAGTCTGTCATTGTCCTGTATTTGGTAACACTTTACAGTATGGCCCACGACTAATTAAATGGAATAGCAGTGGAATGTAGTTTATTTGAAATTACAATGTAATTATATTTACCTACAAATACTTGAAGTGAGGTAAGGGGGGAAAGTGTTTTGGGTTTTTTTTTACGGAAAACAAAGAAGTATTTATACTGTAAATACATTTAATTCATGTACAAGTAATTTTAAATAATGCGTAACTTAAATTCACTCTATAATGCGGCCAACAACCCAAAAAGCATAATGTACTTATAATTTAAGATGGCACAATTACCAGGAAAGTATGTAGTACTTAAAATTGTTTATGCAGTATTTAAATTTACTCACAGTATCATTTTGTCTCCTTTCCTGTAAAATACCCAGAAGTTTGACACTACTTAAAATGACTTAAAATGTCACTATTTCTTCTCTCCTGTAAGTTACATGAAGTTGTGTATTACTTCAATTACTCATGTGCTACATAAAATTGTATACATGCAAATACAAATACATATAAATACATACATATTATTCTAACGTATCTACCTTTAAGTATTTTTAGGAAAATTACATTATAATTTAAAACAAAATACCTTAAAATTTGATTTAATTGCAGGAGGATTATGCCCTTAATCACAGATTGTATTATAAAGTGAATTCTATTAAGCAATTCAGCCCGTGAAGCAACCTTAGACTGGAGCATGATGACTTTAAGTGAGAAATAATTTAAAAATTTTCTACAAATACAAAACTGCAGGTTAATATTTATATAATTTGATACACATGTGATTGGCATGACATGCATATTATTTTATCCTAGTGCATCATTTCTGTTTACAATCATTTATTAATTTCATGTCTCGCTGGAAGAAAAACTTTTTGAGTTGAATAAATTTTCAGTTTGTTCAAATAATTTTTTGGGCATAAAAAAGTGATGCAATACGAGTTAATACAAGTGTTCAAGTAAAATGCCATTTAAATTGATAGTATGTGCAAAACTCCAGTGGCGCAATCGGTAGAAATTACATTTAATTAAATTAATAAAACTCTAAGATGAGTTATTTGATTTCTAAAATGCTTATTAGTTTTATTTAAAAGATGTTAGTTTATAGAATACACTTCTATGTGTCATGAAAGTAATTATGAACTTGAACACAAAAATACACGCCATGTTAATGAACCATACACAAATACTCAAAAACTGTTCCACCTATTCTCCTCCTCTTATCCAGTTCAGGGTTGCAGGGGTGGGCTAGAGCCTATCCCAGGTGACAGGCAGGGTACACCCTGAACAAGTTGCCAGGGCCAACACAAAGAGAGAGAGATAACCATTCACACTTATATTCTACCGGCAATTTAGAGTCACCAATTAACCTGGCCCACCTAATTGCATGTCTTTGGACTGTGGGAGGAACCTGGAGAGAACATGAAAATTCCACACAGGCACCAGGACAGTGCTAACCAGTTTTGACTCAAAAACACAAACACTGTAAAATAATTTATCTTACAATATAATTTAGATTTTATTTCAAATTGTGTTTTATAATGGTTAATAAAGGAAAAAGGGGGAAAAAGAAGAAGGCACTGTGCCATCTCCTATCAAGGAGTTTAAAAAAAAGAAACAGAATTAAAGTATTTTGGGTTACATAAATTTAAATATTTTATGAGAACAGGGCATAATATTTCAGGTAAAATGTTTTTTGTTCACTATTAAGGCTTTATTGTGTGATTCCTCCAGTTGATTTTCTTTCTTTCCTAGTGCGCCTCCTGGTGACGAATGTCTTAAACAACTGAAATTCCACAAAGCCCAAACTTGTGAAGTTCAATTAGATATAAATCTTCATTACAGTTCATTCATTTTCATCCTGAGCATTTGCTTTTCTATCTGCTTCATTGAGAAATTCCTGGTCAGGGTAGATTAGGAAGCCCGTAAAGGTGCTGTCTGTCCAAAAAGGATCAAAAAAGAGTCCGTTCTGCTCCGAGTAGAAGATCTGCAGCCAGACCTGGTCTGACTCCTTCAGGTGGAGAACAGTAGAACCAGACGCCACGTCATAGTTCCCAGTGTTTGCATCAAATGTTTTGATCTTGTACTGCCCATTATGAACTAACCCGATGGCGAGATGCTTGTTGGCCAGTGTGATGTCATAGGTAAAGTAATAAACTCCAGGGATAACGCAGACAAACTTCCCGCTGGAGGCATTGTAGTGATTCCCTTCATTCAGCAGGATCCGGGTGAAGCGGATGGGCGTGCGCTCTTTAGGATAGCTCTTTGTCACAGCCACAGAGAAAGCTGATCGTGCTTGCTTGCCACAGTTACAACCACCTGGAGCTCCTTCCTCGCCCATGTCACCCACGTCTCCTTTTTGTCCCCAGGTTCCAGATGTTCCGGGTTTTCCACGTTGTCCTTTCAGTCCCCGAGGTCCGGCCTTGCCAATAATACCCTCACGACCTTTCTCACCCGGTTTGCCTGGGTTCCCAGGTCTCCCTGGATCACCTGATAACACATAAATAATAACAAGATGACAATAAAATAGTATAATCTGGGCACCAGTATAGCTGACATGCTTGAGCAGCTTAGCTATGTTCTTTAAGGCTATTGAAGATGCCTGGGTCCATTTACCATGTGTCTCACCAAGACCTCCTAGCATTCCTGTCTTCTCTTCACTATTCTATCTAAATAAAGGCTAAAAAAGCCCAAATCGTGTTTTAAACAAATACTGTGCTCGAAATAAATAAAGGAACATGTTTAAATCAGAGTGTAGAAAATCAGTCAAACTTCTGTGATATTGATCTGGTCAGTTAAATGGCGGAGGGAGTTGTAGGGACTTTGGGTGCAGTAGAGGGGCAACAATGAAACAGTTTCCCAAACAGGAATGGTTTTACAGGTGGAAGCCACTGACATTTTCCCTCTGACTGTGTTTTTTTACTACTTTTGCATTTGTCTAGGGTCACTGGTAACAACTGCCAGGATGAGGTGATACCTGGATCCTAGAGGTTCTACGGGTAGTTCAACTCTTGAATGGCACATCACTGCGTGCCATTAGCATAAGGTTTGCTGTCATAGAAGAGATTTCAGGGGACAGACAGTTACTCTAGGAGAGCTGGACAGGCCATATAAGGTCCTTAGAGACTGGTGTCTGCTCCTTTGTGCAAAGAGGAACAGGATGAGCAGTGCGAGAGCCCCCCAGCATCATGGCAAAGCGTGTGGACATGGTGGACTAGCATGCCTATTACCCTCATTTTTTCCCTATATCTGATTGTTTTCAAAGTGTTCTGTTAATTGTGAGAGTAGTTTAATTGTTTTGATGACCAAAAGCTCTTAAGAGCCTAAAACGTTCCCTGTGAAATTGTCACTGACAAAAGAAAAGAGCATATTAATTGGCATGTTAGGGCTGTTTAGATGTTTTTTGACTCTTCAAAACTCGTGATAATAAATAATAAATCAACAGGCTCGTTTAAGTAACTGAAAAAGGTCTGAATATGAAGCTAATGACCAAAAAAGTCAAATGGCAATAAAAACATTCCCTTTACAGTTAAGAACTTGCAACTTCAGACATCTGTGCATAGATGTTGGAGAGGTGCTAAAGAAAAATCAGATCAGTGACATATATGATGTGAAGATCATTCAAGTTCACAGTAACATACAACTAGAGATTAACTACTACCTTGATCTCCCTTCTCTCCCTTCTCTCCATCCTTCCCATCTTGGCCGTCTGTCCCGGGGGGCCCCATGGGGCCCATGGCCCCGGGTGATCCAGGGGCTCCTGGGTTCCCTGCAGGCCCCGCTGGGCCGGGCAGACTGCAGACCAGCTGGGATGAGTGGATGGTGAAATTCCGACCTCTCTTAGATGGGGGATTTGTTGACTGCGAGACGACAACTGACAGCACATAGATCATCACAAACATCTGGAGCATGATGGGAACTGTGGAGTCACAAAGAGACAAGGGGAAGCAACTGTTTACAACAATTATACTGACTTGAGTTTTGCAGCCACTGATCAGATGATGCAAACATGTGGTAAAAGATTCCTGGAGTCAACCAGAGACTAAAACCTAACACACCATGTGGACGGGCATCTAGATGGTGTGGCCATTTTCATGCAATCCCTCAGTAACTAATGACAAATCTGATGCATCTGTTATATGTTCTGGTTACATAAAAGCATGCAGCTTACAGTAGGTTATATAAAGGAGTGTGTCAGCCATTTTAAAAGCACAGAGTAAGAACTCACCAGTTGAGAAATTATGACTCATGGGTATTTTTCAGCTCCGTCCGAGCCCTTTCTCTGCATCAGAGTGCACAAACCTTCCTACATTTCCAACAAACGATTGAGGCAACATTCTTCAAGAGAAGCTCTGCAGAGAAATGTGCAGCCCAGAGCCTCCGTAACATCCGCCCTGTTTATGCGAGTGATAGGCCAAAAAAAAAAAAAAAATGCTTTCACCATGATGTCATTACATTCAAGTCAGTGCAACAGCTGAAGCAGTGACACATCAGTGGTTCACAAACTCTGCTGTGAGGAAGCAAGAGATTACACAACGAGGGCTAAAAAGGATAAAGCAGAAACATTTCGCTTGTTACACGTTATGCATTTAGATACTGATGTCCTCAGAAGTGGTCAAATGTTGCAATAATAGAAAAAGAAAATTTAAAAAAAAAAACATTTACGTTTCCTTGTCTTATTACAAGCACTAAAATTGTCCCACACTGTAAAGTTTATGAATAAATCTACTATGTAGAGCACATCTTACAAAAAACAAGAGACACAAGAAAGAGGAAACACTGAAAAAACACGTCTGCCATTTTTTAGGTTTCTGACTGTGTTCATGTGTAATGCACGTGGATAATGTGTGCACCTGGTTAATAAGGAGCACAAGGACAGACTTCTCCCTGCAGTCTGAGATAAGGAACGCTGAGATTGACTGCTTGTTTTTGGTGTCCTCTTCTCCACCTTGGAACCCTCATCAGGGCTTTCCAGAAAATCACCCAGTGAATGAAGAGGTAGCCATCTCATGTTTGCATTCGTTTTTCAGTTCAGTCCATTAGGTGACGCTGTGGGTGACTTTTTTTTTTAGGTATTTGAGATTTTAGTCCTTTCCCTCTTTATCTCTACCCTAGTTATGCTTAACACACAAGGCTACAAAAAGCAAAATTAAAAAGTGCATAATTATTTCTTTTTTTTCCAAATAAATTATCCAGAATTGTTCGTCGCTGAACCTTGCAAGGTAAACATACCTTGCAAGGTTCAGTTTATGGTTTTTAAAAGCAATCAAATAGTTCTAAAACTCAATTTACATGTGAAAAACCATGTTACCTAAAATAAAAACTAGACTTTGGGGGGGGGCAAAACTAACTGACATGATTTTGTAATCCTGGCAAACGAATTAAAATTAAATACAAATATTGATTAAATGTCTTTAGTTTTTGTTTGTTACTTTGGTAAAGTTACAGTTTGCCCCCATGAGTTTTTAACGGACATCTTTAATGACAGTCTACAAGACTGTGAATTAACTGTTTTCAGAAGCAGTGGGGTTTTTGTGTTAAACTTGAACTGATCTTCTTAAATCTTGCCTCCAGCATTTGCCCTCTGTAAAATGATATTTTGCAAGGCTAAAGCTAATATTGAGAAAAGCAAAACAATTAAAAAGTAAAGTGAAACGCACAGGCTTACTGTCCGAACTAACAACAGAGTCAAAATGAAATTTAAAAACAATAAATAAATAATTAGAAAATACAATAATTATAATAACTCTGGTGGGTACTTTTACAAAGAACTGTTTTTAGACCCTGATCACTTACATGGGGAACATGATCACTGAGGACATGACATAAACGAGCCGTTCCGTACAGCAGGGATTCAGTGAAGGGTAGAAACTAGAAGGGCAGCTTCAGTTTCATTTTGGCCTGTAGTGGAGGTCACTATGAAGTAATCCTCCACTTTCTCTTCAGATCAGTACTTAAATCGATGAAGTCTCAGACCTGACAGAAATGTTGGAAATGCCTTTTGAATTGTTCTTTCCATATTACTTTCTGTTGTTGTGTACTAATTTACAAATCTCCCCACATACTTAAGTTTCCTCTGGAGTCCATAACTGGAAAACACGATATGTATATACAGCCATGCTAACAACAACTACTGAGGTTCAGCAAAATTAAAAGGATCAGCCGCCCAAGTCATATTTCCACCCATTGCTCATACCTCATGTACAACCCTCCACCCATGCAAAAAAACCCAAAAAACAAGAACAACAAAAAACCATACATTCAGGCAAATGGATTTTATTATAAAAAGAAATGCAGTTACGTTTCTCATGTTTCCTGTAAAGACTGAATTTGAAAGGTTTGAAAGTATTTAAATGTCTCCTGTTGAAGCGAAACACCTTTTGTTGTTGTTCCACATTTTATGGACATGCAGCTTCAAAACAATGTGTCAACATTAACTTTTACAAAATACTGTACACAGTTTCTCCAGCACTTCTTTCCAAAGCACAAAACTTGAGTGAATGTGGGATTTTATATTTTACTGAGCAGCTGCTCTAGTAGAGTCCTTGGGGAGAGTTTAGGGGAATCTGCCGGGACTGAAAAGGTCACTGTCCCAAGAAGGAAGCCATGGGATCATCTGGCCTGCTGCGTTTCATGCGGAAGGCCTCCATCTCCTCCTCAGTGGGCGCCTTTACTTCAAACAAGCTGTTGTACGGCCTCTTCCTCTCATCCAGCTGCATTAGTATCTCCACCTGCTTCACCCGCTTGTCCTCTGCTTCTAGAGCCTGAGAAGGAGACGGCGGTTGGAGGTCAGACACGGAGAAACTCATCAAAACAAACACGGCTGTCAAACAAAAACAAAAACATTACCTTCTTCAGCTTTTCCTTCTTCTTCTCCTCATCCTCCGAATCACTGCTGTCGGAGTCGCGCTTCTTGTTCTTTTTGTTCTTCTTTTTCTTCTTCTTCTCTTTCATCTTATCTTGATGCATCTGGTGATCACGAATATTTTAATAATGAACATTACATTTAAGCTTATTAACATTAACTGCAGCATTTAAAAAAACAAAACAAAAACAGTGTCCCTTACTTCTAGCAGAGTCTTGGGCTGTTCCTCCTCCTGTGGCTCAGTTATTGCCTCTTCAAATGGAGTGCACTCTGAGTTGTTCTGCAGGGGTTCATATACAAACACAGTCAGAAAGTGAGAAATCTGTGACCACTTTATAAACTGATATCCTATCCATCAAACAAACGCTTCAAATACTCTCAGTAAATGTACTTACAATTCCAATTCCAGCTGATCCTGTGCAGTAACTCTGTTTGACCATGGAGTGGCAACACTTGTACCCCCAGAAGCCGTCTTTCCAGTAGGAACCCCAAATACACTAACGAGGAGATATGATCTTGATTTTAGGATAAAACAGAAATAAAATGTAACAAAATTAGCCACACATTTGCTACAGTCTGCCCTTCTTACAGTGTGGTTGTTGATGAGCACGTCCTCCTCATATTTGGAGCGAGCGACAGCCTTTTCGAGTCCTTTCAGCACAGCGCCGTGACGCGAATACTCCACGTAGTCCTCCGTCTGGGCCAACAGCAACTCCCGCGGTGGTGCATCCAAATGCTCCTGGCCTCCATACTGATTGTCACACACAAAAGCAGAAACATCATCAGTAAAGCCCAGACTGTGACTGATATGAAGTTCGGTCTGATATATCAGCCAATATTTTTTTTTCTTTCTGATATCCCTAATATTTGTAGTTATTTATTTTCTCCTTTACACAGCTGATCCAAGCCCGACTGCTCAGATAGACTGGTTGTTTGTGGTGTTCTCAAACATGCTGCCAACAGAGAAGCTGCAGAGTGCCATCCAGTGGACAAACTGTGCAACATCTGCACTCATAAGATGGTTGAAGAAAGTTTCTCCCATCTCTTATGTACTTTTCACTCTTCCTGGCCTCATCCTGTTGCTAAATGAATACATATCAGCCGTGTACCTTCTCCAGGATGCTCTCTCTCTGTTCTTCTTTGAAGTCCTCCTTCTTGACCTTGAAGGAACGATGCAGCAGTTCCAGTTTGGTGGGGTCAGCCTGCAGATGCACCTCGGAGCCTTTCTCATAAGCCTCCCAGGCAAACACTGTCACGAGACAATGACAATTGCTACAAATTACACTCTGTGGTCCTAACAGATAAGAAAAAGCTCAGATTTCATCATAATTATCCTTTACTAAGTAACTAAGATCCTGCCTTTTGGTGTCTCATATATAACATAAGTGTGACAGGAGAGGGACTCTTTAATTTAGCTGTGTCTAAATAGATGTATAGATGTTAACCACTATTGTTAGCAGGCTGCTTTTTACTTTTTGCAGCTGATTTTTACTCTATAAATGCTGATTTTTCCACTTTTGGATGACTTTTGGTAACCTATTATAATCCAGTCAAACATTCAACAGTTTTGATCACAGTGGCCAAAAATAAATAAATCTCTAGACTCATTTCCAATATAAGTAAAGTCATACTTCCAAAACCTAAAGAGTTAAGGTTGTGAGGTGTTTGAAAAGAAGGAACCATAACTTTAGGACTTACATTGTGTTTGAGCCATGGAAATTGTGGCTCCACTGTAGCGAACAAAGTTGTCTCCAGCGTACCCCACTCTGTTACACAAAACAGTTCAAAAATGATTTCAGTGTCCACTCAGTTACTCCGAGACTATTTCTACTATTCCTCTGTTGATTTTATTTTATTTTTTAAAAACAACAACAACAACAACAACAAAAAAAACAAACCCATAACTTACTCATCAGGGTTCTTGCCAGTGTTGGAGTACGGGTTCTCTCTCATTGCTCGCGTCTTTGGATCGTAGTACGCTGAATTTGGATCCAGATTTCTCAAGTACTGTGAAAAACAGACACGAGGAGTTCAGAGAAATTAGTAAACTGCAGTACCCCATCTTTCATACACAGAACTGCTGAAAAGTCATGTGATTTTATTATATTTCGCTTGAAAACAAACACGAAGGAAGCGTGAAAACACAAATCAAACACAAAACATGACGCAAAAACAGAGTCTGTGTAACTGCAACAGCCCTCTGAATCAAAATTTGGTATAACTGCCTTTATTCATTAACATAGCCTGAACCCTCTTAGGCAGCCTTCTTGTATTTTCTGTAAGTTGTCTTCAGTAATAGTTCTCCAGCCTGCTTGAAGGACATTCAAAGCTTTTTCATGTTCACAATTTAAACAAGATCTCGATACAACTGTCTCCTTGTAAGAAAAATATAAAAGGAACATGGTGTGGCTCACAGCTTTTACACAATAATGTGGGCAGTAACACTGTGTTCTGTATTCATTTTATCCCTGTGTACACAGTTTATCATCAGAAAAAGCACAAATGACTAATGTTTTACTACGTGGCTCTTACTTTAGCTGT